AAGCCCAGAGATGTGGATCTGTGGGTCTGGGCTGGCACCTGAACCTTTTGTGTGATCTCTGGGAACCACACTGGGGAACAGGGCCTTCGGCAGGTTTTGTCCGTTTCCTGTGGCCTCTGTTCCACTAACAGTCACACTGCCCCCTGCCTTCCCACCACCTTCTTCTTTGAGCTCCAGATCAAATTTCTACCTGCCTCCCCCACCACCTCTCTGGGGCACTAGCCCCAGATGCCTGGTGCCCTGCTTGTCCATGCCCCTGCCCTGCCTGAGGCCTGATCCTCTTCTAGCACTTCTGACCTCCGCAGAGGCTCCACCGCCCCCTCAAACTTGGGCCTCATTCTTGGTGCGACTTTTCCCTTGTCCCCACCAACCATGAGTACATCCCTAGCCCTGGTCCTGCTGACCTTTGCTCTGTTGGGCCTAGATGAGACTGGGGCTTCCTTGTTGTCCTGTCCGCACTTGTCCTTCAGCCCCTTCTGCATTAGGCAGTGTTCCAGCACAGAGATCTGGTCACATTGTCCCCTGCTTAAAGTCTTGTTGTACCTCTTAAACACTCAAACCAGAGTCTGGTCTGGGTCACAGTATTGCCCTCTCCAGGCTGGGTGCAGCCCCTCTTGCCGGCCAAGGACTTGGTTGCCCCTGCTTGAGCTGCTGCTCACACTACTTGCAATCCAGGTCTCAGTTCTGATGTCACAGTCCTGGGCAGGCTTCTCCTGATCCCCAGACCAGGCCATGCCCCTTGTGACCCTTGCCATGAACAGCCCAGCACCCCGTATGCCTCCTGCAGGAGAAGATGCTGGATATCTACTGGCTGCTGCGTGTCTGCCTGCGGACCATCGAGCACAGTGATCGCACGGGTTCTCTCTTTGCTTTTATGCCTGAGTTCTACCTGAGCGTGGCCATCAATAGCTACAGTGCTCTCAAGAATTACTTCGGCCCCGTGCATAGCATGGAGGAGCTCCCAGGTGATGGGGCCATTCAGGCTGGGGCAGACAAGGGGACCTTTAGCATGATCCTGAGGAGCCCTGGTCTGAGCCCCCTGTGCCCAGCAGCACGCCTCCATGTGGGGCCAGGGAGGCGGGTACTTTGGCTCGCACTGCAGCAAAGCATTTGCACCCTGCCTTGGCTCCTACAGCCACAGAACTAACAGCTCCTCCCTGGTGCTGGAAGGAAAACAGACAGGATAGAGCATGTGGTGGGGACCCCTTGGCCTTTACTTCCTTCTAGTGCTGCTCCAGCAGCCAGCTGGCCCTTTACCCTGCTGCCCTGGCCCTGGTCACAATTGGTCAGGGGCAGAATGGTTTGTCTTTGGAAATCATGGCAGGGGAGGAGCCCTGCTGGGGGCCACATAGGAGCCTGGACTTCTCAGAGACCACTGATTCCAGGCCCTGGCCAGCCCCTGCCCCAGGCCTCAGTGCAGGCTTTGTCTTCAAAGACAGAGTGGTGGGTGCTCTAGGGGCTTTGCCTGCTGAGTCATCAAGTGTGTGTGCTGAGGCAGGTTGGAGCCCAGGTTAAGGCTCTTGGCAGGTGAGCCTGTGCCTTAGTCCCTCCACAGCTGCTAGGGAATGCCTTGACTGATGTCCCCAGATGCCAACCTGGGTCCAGACTAGCTCTTGGAGCCTGCTACCTAAGCCCACCCACTGTGCCAAGGGACGTGCCTGCCTCTGGAGCCCCCACTCCCACCAGCAGTTCTGACCACCCACCTTTGCAGGCTACGAAGAGACCCTGACCCGCCTGGCCGCCATCCTTGCCAAACACTTCGCCGACACACGCATCGTGGGCACTGGTGAGGTGCCCTACAGAGGGCCAGGGGCATGGGGATGGGATGGCACCTCTTGCAGGCTGTTATGCAAAATGCAGCCAGGTGGGTGTGAGGCATGGGGCCAGGGCTGAGGTATGCCCTATCCATGCAGACATCCGAGACTCGCTGATGCAGGCTCTGGCCAGCTACGTGTGCTACCCACACTCCCTGCGGGCCGTGGAACGAATCCCCGAGGAGCAGTGAGTGAGGGCTGGGAAGCCACACACCCTGTCCTGCCAAGCACCATGCTCAGCCTCACCCCATGCCTGCTACCCCTTGTCCTCACAGGCGTATCGCCATGGTACGGAATCTCCTGGCACCCTATGAGCAACGGCCCTGGGCCCAGACCAACTGGATCCTAGTGCGGCTTTGGAGGGTAAGCCTGACCTGAGGGGATGTGGCTGAGGCTGGCTGGAAGAAGAAGTTTACCTGCCCCTCTGACCCCCTACTGACGCTACCTCCAGGGCTGTGGGTTCGGGTACCGCTATACACGCCTGCCACATTTGCTGAAAACCAAGCCTGAGGACGCCAATTTGCCCAGCCTCCAGAGTGAGTATCCAGGTCGGACGGTCCTGGCAGCATCCTGAGCAGGGCAGGCTGGTGGCCCTGACCCACTACTCTTGGGTTCTGTCAGACTCTTCCGCTTCTTCCAGGCCCTCTCCTGTACTCATGTTGGGCCCCAGGCTCCCTGCCTGTCCCCTGGGTTTTCCATTTTCCCCACTTCCTCCCAGCCAAAGACACTCTGGGATTGCTCTCCTTTGCCCCACAGTTCCACGTGTGCCCTTTGGGCCTGTATGCCCTGCCTGGGTCAGAGTGGAAAGTGACAACATCTTTCCAGCCTCCTGGCATCTCATGCAAACTGAACACTCTGTCCCTTGTCCTCTAAGCCAGTTCCCTGACCTCCCAGCACCATGTCCTTCCGCTCTTTGGTCTCTGCTGGTGCCAGACCCTGGGCCTTAGACACCTGAGTCAAGAAGGAACACAGACCAGAGGTTGGCCAGGGCCCCAGAGAATACTCGTTGGACTTCCTGGAGTAAGGGACATTTTGTTGGGAGCAAAAGCTGTGCTTTCTCCCCAAGGTCCAGCAAAGTCTCGTGAGCCTGAGGACCTTTGGCTAGGCTGGCCTAAGGTCTTGCTTGGGCTTTCTAGCTTGCCAAGTGTCTGTCACACACTGTACTCACCCTGTATGGTGGCTCTTCTTGGCTCATGTAGTGTGTTTCTGCCTTTGTGGGCAATGTTTTAGTCTGAGGGGTGTCCTCATAGAGGCCAAGTGCCTTGTGCATAAGTCACACAGCAAGTCCTTGTAAGTTGCCTTGGTTCTGCCTCTTGGGCAGAACTGAGCTGCAAGTGGAGAGCTGGCAGTGGGGCCAGATACGTGTCCCGCTGCTGTGGGAACTATTGATTGGCATTGAGAGGGGTGGGGAGGCAGGCAGGCAGCTGAGGGCTGCAGCTGAGGGCTCTGGTTACTGCTGACTGCCAGGCCAGCCTTGGCGCCCACCACCTGGGCCACATGCCAAGGCCAGGCCAAGGGCAGCAGAGGACGGTAGAGGACAGCAGGGCTTGCAGCAGAGCTCAGAGAAAGCTCTGGAGAGGCTGGCCTTGATAGCAATAGGGAAGAGTCTTATGTTGCCCTGTCTAGGTCTGACCCTATCTGAAGGGCACGTGACTCAGAACTTGCCGAGGGTCAGGCTTGAGCTGTGTGGCTGCTCTAGGCGGAGGTAGTGGGGTGGAAGAGGGACTGGAAACAACTGCAGCCTGGGGCTTGCCCTGCAGAAGGAGGGGACAGATTTAGCCTTAACCTCCAGGCAGCTGCAACCTGTTCCCCACCTCATGACCTGAGCATTCCCAGGGAGCCATCTTCCTGTCCTTGGCCCAGTGGGTAAGAACAGAGGCAAACAGGCAGTGGCCACTGTGGTGAAGTCGCTGATGATGCCACCTCCCCATGCTCCTGTAGAGCCCTGCCCCTCCACCCTGCTGCAGCAGCACATGGCAGACCTGCTGCGGGAGGGTCCAGACGTGGCGCCCAGCTTCCTCAACAGCGTCCTCAACCAGCTCAACTGGGCCTTCTCTGAGTTCATCGGCATGATCCAGGAGGTGGGCTGTGGTGGGTGTGGTGGGGCCTTATGGGTCAGGGTGGTGCAAGAGGCAAGGAAGGGGGCCCAGGTGTAGCCAGGCCACTCACTGCTGCTTGCCCACATTGGTGGTGCAGATTCAGCAGGCTGCTGAACGCCTGGAGCGAAACTTCGTGGACAGCCGGCAGCTCAAGGTATGTGCCACCTGCTTTGACCTCTCGGTTAGCCTGCTGCGTGTCTTGGAGATGACCATCACGCTGGTGCCGGAGATATTCCTTGACTGGTCTCGACCTAACTCTGAGATGCTGCTGCGGCGCCTTGCACAGGTGTGTCCATCTGGGCAAGGGTGGGACCCTGGGGACACCCCAGTGGTGACCCTGCCCATCCACCAACGGGCTCCTGCTGTCACAGCTGCTGAACCAGGTGCTGAACCGGGTGACAGCTGAGAGGAACCTGTTTGACCGTGTGGTTACCCTACGGCTGCCTGGTGAGAACCTAGATGCCCTGCACCCCAACACAGGCCTTGGTTCCTCTGCCAAGAGTGGTGACGCCTGATCCTCCGTTCTGTCCCAGGACAGCCAGCCTCAGCTCACCCTCCAGTGGGGAGGACAGTGGGAAGGGTGTATGGCATCAGCCAGGCCCATGCCCCTGCAGCGGGGGCTCATCTCCTTCCTCCCCCTTCCCTTAGGCCTAGAGAGCGTGGACCATTACCCCATTCTGGTGGCAGTGACAGGCATCCTGGTGCAGCTCCTGGTACATGGCTCAGCCTCAGAGTGAGTGTTGGGGACTGTGGTTCCCGTGCAAGCTGGGTGTGTGTGATGAGGAGGGGCTGGGTCTCTCTGTACCTTAGTTTCCTCATCCCAAAATGGACTTCAGTATCAGGTTTAGAGGCAGAGAAGGTGCTGAGGTGTGAGCTGCCTAAATAGTGTCGGCAGCAGCTGCTCTGAGTAGGAGCATCAGGGACCCCAGCAGGGCAGGGTGTCCGGACTCACAGACACACTGGCCTGTGGCCACGCCTTAGGTGGGACATGGTAGCCGAGACTCTGAAGGGTGTGCCATCCTGCGATGGCCAGGGCGACACTGCTGGATCAAGAGCTGAGCACACACAATGCTACCTTTACGCAGGCTTCAGCAGCAAGCATGTACCGCCTTTATTGAGAAACTCTGTAACAGCTGAGCCAGCTGGGCCCCCCAGCTCAGCCCCGACCCGTGAGGGGTTCTCAGACCTCTCTTCCCTGCCTCCCTGCATTGGGAGTGGTGAGATGCATATAAAGCCAGGGCACCGCCTCAGCCATTAGGCTGAGACCAGTGCCAGCCCTTAAGAGGCTCCTGCCCGCAAGGGACATGGAGTTCCGGCTCGTTCCTCCCAGCTTGGCCGCGCTCACCAGGCTTTTTACTGCTGCAAAGTTGGGGGCGCTAGCCATGATGGCCTTCGCTGCTGTCCGTAAGCCATGGAATGGGCTCTGCCTTCAGAGTGACGACTACGACTAGATGCCCCTGGCCAGAGAGCAGGGCTACTCTGGCTGGGGCTCAGGCCAGGCTCCCCAGGGGTCTCTCAAGCAGCATTGCCTGCCATATACCTGCCTCCCAGACTCTGCATGAAGTTGTGAAGCTTTCAGTAGGTTGGGTGTTGGTGCATGGGGGAGTCCCCTTCACCAGAGGGAAGCCTTGTTTCCTCCTCCTGTCCTGGGGTTGGGGGCTAGAGCTTCCTACAGAGCCCTCCTTTTCGCCTGTGGGCCTACTCTTTCCCCAGCGCCTTGGGAAGGGGAAGGTGGTTACACTTCAATTCTTCTATACCACTCTGGATGCTGCCTCAGTCCCCAATTTTCACGGGGCATTTGGGCACTGGGTGTCCCAAGGAAAACCAGTACTAGCAGGGCCTGCAAGGGCCAGGGGCCTTTGTTGGGGCAAAGCAGGAAGCAAGTTGGGGACCCCAGACCACCTTCCAGTAAGTAGGGCCATTGTGGTTCAGGTAAAGTCCATATAGGCCAGAGGACCAGACACAGCGCTTCCCTCGAGCATGTGGCAGTTCTCTGGGCCGCAGCACGGAGCAGGGCAAGCAGCAGGAGGGTGGGGGCCTGAGTGGGGCTCCTGGGCAGCCTAGGTCATCATGAGACCCTCCGAGCATGTGGAGCTAGCAGACTCGGAGCCAGCCTTAAGCCGCAGGCCCACGGGGTTGCAGAGATCGAAGTCCTCAGCTACCGCCAGCTGCACCCGGCCATTGAGGCCCCTCCTGCCTGGCTCCAGAAAGACCACGTGCTTGTGGACACTGGTCTTGCGGCTGGGTGCCTCTGGAGGTGTGGCACTGAGCACCGAGGACTGCGCGCTCAGCTCCTGGAGCGGGCTGGGTGTTCGTGGCCAGCGGCAGCGGCAGGCACGGCGGCAGCAGCGGCAGCAGCCCCGGCAGGGCGGAGCAAACAGGTAGAGCAGCACTAGCACCAGGCCCACCACGCAGCCCAGAAGCGTGGTGAAGCCCGTATTGAAGGCCTCTGGGTCGGGGCGCGAGAAGTGCACGCTCACGTTGTACTCGTGTGTCTGGTTGTGGTGTAGGCGGGGCCCGGTGGCCAGGCACACGAAGACACCCGCATGCCGCTGCTGCACGTTACCTATGGCCAAACTGCCGTCTGCCAGCACCGCGATGCTACCGTCGCGGGATCCTGGCGCCACTAGCAGCTCATTCTCCGGCGAAACCCAGGCGATGCGCACAGCTGGAGCGCTGGTGTTGCAGTATAGTCTCAGGGACCGACCCACCTGCACGTGCAGCTGCTCTTCTGGCCGCTCTAGGCCAAGAGCTGGGGCAACAGAGCAGTTCTCGAAGACGCGGCTGTGCTCGAAGAAGCGCACGCGGGACATGGGTACATTGAAGGCCAGGCACGTGTACTCGCGCGCGAAGTCGCGCAGGGCGCTTAGGCCCCGCTGGTGCCAGCGCTGCAGCAGGTGGTAAAGGCGGCAGTCGCAGGGCAGCGGGTTGTTGTGCAAGTAGAGGCCATTCTTGAGGAAGGCTGGCAGTGCGGCCAGCTCTGGTACAGAGATGCGTCCCAGCCGGTTGGAGGAAAGGTCCAGAGTACGCAGGTGGGTCGCACCCAGATCGTGCAGGTGGTCGAAAGAGAAGGACGCGAGTTCGTTGCAGCCCAGGTAGAGATGGCTGAGCGCGCTCAGGCCATGGAAGGCATGCTCGTCCAAGCGCGCCAGGCGGTTGTTGAATAGCAACAGCCTCTCCAGCGCCCCTAGCCCGTCGAGGTCGTGGCGGCCAAGCGCTCGCAAGGCATTAGATGATAGATCGAGTTGCCTCAGGCCGCTGGCATTGGTGAAGACGCCGCGACCCAGTACATGGAGCTCGTTGTGGCCTAGGCGTAGGTCGCGCAGCCGGGAAAGGGGCGTCAGCCAGCCGGGGCGCAGGCGCTGAAGCGCATTGTGGCTTAGGTCGAGGTCTGCAGCAGCGGCAGGTAACACGGCCGGCACGTCCTGCAACCCAAGGCCTGCGCAGCTCACCAGGTCGGCAGCACAGACGCATTTGTGGGGGCAGCTGTGGGGCGCAGGGGGCGGGAAGCCCTCTGAGTCCCGGGTGCCTAACCCAGCCCGCGGCATGCACAGTAGTGTGCCCAGCAGCACCAGCCAGCCCATGGCAGCGACCACCAGGGATGGGACAAGGGCAGCCCTGTGCAGGTCGCAGCTCCAGGACTCACCCACTTCTGCTCTGGTTCGACGTGTGTGGTGCCGGACGGCTCATGGCCAAGGAGGCACGATGTGGGTTCTGCCCCGCATGGCCGACTGCTCCTGCTCCCTCATGCCCAGGTTGTGAGGCGCCCTCCAACTTTCCTAGCACTCTCCCGGAGCCTCCGGTCCCGGTCGGCTTCTAAATACTAGCCAGGAAGGGATGGCCCAGGGGGCGGGACCCGGCGCTCTTATTGGCTCCCGCTTCAGCGGGCGGGGCGGCTGCGTCCCCTAGCGCTAAGCGGCCTCTGGTGGCCGCCAGAGGGGAGTCCGACCCCAACGTCCCAGCCTGCCCTTAGCCAGAGCTTCCTGTAGCTATCTTGGAAGCTTATCTCTCTTGGAAGAGTAAAAGGGGAAGTGTGGGAAGAATGTCTCTAAGTTGCTGTTAATGTTTTTGGTGTTTATTTGAAGTGATTATTATGAAGGATTAATATATTATGGGGCAGGTGGACCACCACTGTCTTTTGGTGGCTTACCTGAGCCCTCTTAAACTGGTACCTGGGCTGTGTGGGACCTTACAGAGATCCAGTACTTGTTGGGGGGCTGGTAAGCAGGGAGATGTGAAGGATGATAATGCACCTGTCATGGCACTCCTTCCCCCTGGTAGAGATTACTTTCAGACAGGCCCCAAGCATCTGACTACCTTGCACTCTCCCCTACCTAGGACAGAGAGAGCCACATCAGTGCTCCTGGCAGATCCCTGCTTCCAGCTACGCTCCATATGCTATCTCCTGGGGCAGCCAGAGCCCCCAGCACCTGGCACTGTCCTGCCAGCCCCTGACCGGAAGCGCTTCTCCCTACAGAGCTGTGAGTGGGGTAGGGAGGGCGGTCAGGCGCCTCAAGAACAGCAAATTCCCAGGCTGGGAATATTCAAGAGGCACTGGGTTCTTGGGCCACATTTGGCCTGACACTCCCTACCACTCCCCAGATACAGATTATATCAGTGCTGAGGAGTTGGCCCGGGTAGAACAGATGCTGGCACACCTGACCTCAGCATCTGCCCAGGCAGCAGCTGCCTCCCTGGTGAGTGGGACCACAGTATACATGCAGGTCCATGCCACTTGAATGTGTGTGCATTCCTTTATGGGCACAGTGCATGTCCATGTATCTGGGCATCCAACTCCAGCCCACCCTCTGCTGTCCTCCCTGCAGCCCACCAGTGAGGAAGACCTTTGCCCAATCTGCTATGCCCACCCCATCTCTGCTGTGTTCCAGCCCTGTGGCCACAAGTCCTGCAAGTAAGTAGGCCCCATGGCTTGGTGGGGGGAGAACAGTAGGAACATACAGGGCAGCCCTCACTCCCTCTCCTGTTGTAGAGCCTGCATCAACCAGCACCTGATGAACAACAAGGATTGCTTCTTCTGCAAAACCACCATCGTGTCTGTAGAGGACTGGGAAAAAACAGCCAGTACAAGTACCACTTCCTCGGCTGCCTAGTCCTCATAGCCCACACCACCCTGGAACCTCCACCCTTGAACCCAGACCCAGGCTGGGCCCTATTTATGAGCTTCCTTTGCCCTGCTCCCCATAGCACCCACCCCCGCCACATCCAACCTCCTTCTTGCCTGCCTATAGCCTCATTGGTGGGAGCCCAGCCATGGCCCTAATTGTGCCTGAGCTTGACTTTCAGTCAGGGCCACAGTGAGCATTAAATTATTATTCCATACAGCCCTGGCCCCGGCCCTTCTTGAGGGAGTAGGGTTTGTGGGGTGTGCCCAGCAGGAATTCTGCCAGATTATGTCCCCATGAGAAGGCAGGTGTCCACCAGCTTCAGCCTCATCCAATCCTTCCCAGACAAATGGCAGCAAATCCAGGGTCTTCTGATATATCAGGCCAGTGCTCCCCTTGCCAATGGGGACACTGGGGCTTGGCTAGTCCTCCAGCATCCCTCACATGATGATGCGAGGCTCTGGCACGGACTCGCCAATAGACTTGTGTGGCAGCACGCTGGCTCCGTTGAGGTAGAGCTCATCATTAACTATGACGTCCTCACCCAGCACTGTCACATTCTCCATGCGAACCTCAGGGAGAGAGGATAGGCCTTGTCAGTGAGGCAGGCACATTCCCTCCCCTTCTCCCCACCGAGCCTAGCACACAGGCTTACCCACTGGCCCACACGACAGCGCCAGCCCACAATGCAGGACTCAAGCCAGGAGTGGGAGCGGATATGGGCATCCCGCAGCACCGTGCACCGCCGGATACACACGCCATCCTCCACTACCACACCAGGACCCAAGCTCACGTTGGGGCCAATGCTGCAGTTCTGGCCAATGCGGGCACTTGGGTCCTGAGAGCAGTGGGGAAAATATAAGTGGGCCATTTGTCTCCCAAGACTGAGGGGATTAATGATGGGCTGAGCAAAGGCCTTACCACCAGCACGTTGCCTACAATGCCAGGGCCTGAGCATAGTCTCTCAGGCTGCTTCTGCCTCAGTGACTGGAGGAAGAGGCACATGCCGGTGAGAAAATCCTTAGGCTGCCCAATGTCCATCCAGAAGCCTGTAGGGAGGGATGCATCAGGGGGCTCAGCCCAGCCACAGACCACCCCCACCCTATGGCCTCCCTGCCTCACCCTGCAGCTCCATGGCATATAGCTGCCCCTCCTTGGCCATAACAGGGAAGACTTCCTTCTCAATGGACGTAGGCTGCAGCTGTGGGAGTGGGCACCTTGTGAGCAGGGTCATGATGGTGGTGGCCTACCCCATCCCAGCCCACCCAGCAGCTGTCTCCTACACACCTGGATGCGCTGCAGCACTGCAGGGCTCAGGATGTACATGCCTGCGTTGATCTTATTGGACACAAACACCTGCGGCTTCTCCACGAACCGGTGAATGCGGCCTGTGTCAGCCTCACATACCACCACACCGTACTTGGAGGGTTCCTCCACCTTGGTCACCTGAATGTAGCAGCACCTCAGGCCTAGTCCAGTGTTCCCGAGCCTTGATAAACATGCTGTCCCAAATCTCAGGGACTCTTCCCCAAATACTTAAAGATAAATACTGCACAACTCTGTACCCGTAACATAAGAAGGTAGTTCAAGGCTGGGCATGGGGGGCTGGAAATGTCAAAAGAAATGGAAAACCTGGTCCCTTACCAGGATGGAGCCCTCCTGGCCATGGTGCCGGTGGAACTGCACCATGGCTTGGAAGGGGAAATCGCAGATCACATCACTGTTGAGGACGAAGAAAGGGTCTGCAGTCTCAGAGAGCAGGTCACGGGCCAGTGCCAAGGGCCCAGCTAGGGAGAAGGAGCAAACCACCTTGCTGGGGGTTTGAATCCCTGGATCCAGGCTCAGCAGGCCCAATCCAGACCAGGTCTTACCCCTTTCCTGGTCCTAAACCCTCCCCAAAGGATGTTCCTGTCTCTACTGACCTGTCCCTAAAGGCTCCTCTTCATGGGACATAGAGATTCGGATTCCCAACTGGAAGGAAGAAGCCCCCCATTTAGGTTCTCCTACCAAGTTGCGAAGGTGAGCAAGGACCAAGAATAAGGGCCAACATTCCGTGCCTCACCCTCTGTTCCTGCGCCTTCATTTCCTTCTCCAACACCTGCGACATGTAGCTCACGGCCAGGATCACGTGGTCTACGCCTGCCTGTCAGACAGAACGCCGGCCGACAGGCGGGCTCAGCCGGAAGGTACGGGCGTTCCTAACCCCCAGTCGCTAGCCGTCCTTTGTCCAGCCAGGTACGACCAAGACCCCGATCCCGATCCCGATCCCGGGCATTACCGCAGCCAGCGCCTCCACTTGGTGCAACAAGATGGGCTTATTGCAGAAGTCCACCAATGGCTTCGGGGTGCTCAGCGTCAGCGGCCGTAGCCGCGTCCCATAGCCGCCCACCAAAATCAGTGCCTTCATCGAGCCTACGGGCGATGGGAGAATGAGTCCTGGGATCCGAGGTGCCTGCAGCCCGCCTGGCCGGCCCCTGCCGCGCACTCCCGCCGCCGTGCCCAGCTCCGCGCCCTTCACCAGCCTGACTGACCGACTGTGGTTCCACCTCGCCCGCCGGATCTGTCCTGAAGCCGAATTCAGGGCCGCCACAACGCACGACGCGACGCTGGGTGGAAGGCTGCTGGCCTCAACTCAGGCCGGACTGGCGCGGGCAGTGACGTAACCCTGGCGGACCAATCGGCTGCTGTATACGTGGCACAGCCGCCGACTCCGGATCGCTGGGGCGCGGCGCTGCAGCAGACGTAGCCAATGAGAACCCGAACTTCCCTGGCTGCCATGGAGACCAGGGATGGGACCCGCGGGTCAGCAGCCCATTGGTGGATCCAAAGGCGGAACTGGCGCCAAGGGTGAGGCCTAGTTTCCTACCGGTGATAGGATTGGCCTCGGCGCGGCCGTTTCAGCCCCGCCCCTCGACCCCGCCCCCTCCGCTCCAGAGGAAAGGAGAGAAGGGAGCTGGAGACGCGGGGTGGGCCTGGCATCCTTGCTACCCGGAAGGCATACGATTTTCAGAAAGACTCGGACACACCTGTTTCTAGCGGCTTTATTTTGACATACACGACCTCAGACACAAGCAGGGTGGGCAGCGCTAGATGTACAGAAAGGGGAGGGCTCGGCCAAGTACCCCCCTCCCCCACACGCAAGGTCCCGAGAAAACACGCAACTGCGGCCCGAGCCACGTTGTAGTATCCGCGCGTAGGCCTCGGGCAGTGTGGACAGGCTTAGCTTCCAGGAAAGAGCAGCAGAGAGCGATTCCTAGAATGCGAGGTCTTACAGTTCCCCGAGAAGCAAAGGAACCAGGCCCTTCCCAGGGTTCTCCATTTTTTCCTCATTAAAATATTTTTTAAATTGACACAAACATAACCAAATTGTACAGCTTTAAAGTTCAAAGCAATCTGCATCTAGGGAACGTGCATGTGACCAGGTGTGAGCGTGTGAGCAGCGGCTACTGAGCTAGCACAGCCCCCCACCCCCCACCCCTTGGTGGGAATCCCAGGCCCACTACACAGGCCCAGAGAGGGAGGGGGTGGGGTCCCTGGCAAGTTGCTACACTGGTCCCCTTCCTCTTTAAGCACCACCCGTCCCCCCCACCTACCCAACCCCCTCCCGGGGTCTGGTGTGGGTTTGGCCCAGGGAAGCACAATAGAGAAGGGTCACTTGAGCGCCCCAACCCATGATCCCATGTTGCACTTTGGTCCCAAGTTAGGGCTGGGGAGGCAGGGCCTGGCAGGGACAGGGCTCTCTGGCCTAGGGCAGAGAAAAAGAGCAGTGGCAATGAGTTTGTACACACTTGCCCACTAACGTAACAGGGCTGGGTCTCCAGGTGTCAAAAGTGCTGAAAAGAGGGGCCCTGCCTTGGGGGAAAAGCAGCAAATCCCAAGCCTTTCCACTCTCTAGTTCCAGGTAAACACTGAATATGAGTGGCCACAGGCTCCTTCGCTATAAGGAGCAGCCAGAATGGGGGGCAGCACCTGCTGCCACTATCTAGGAACTTGGGAGGCACAGAACATCCCCAGGCAGTCCCAAATGGCTCCAGACCCTTTGTCTTATCCCCTACCCTACTAGGGAATGAATGTCTAATGAGAAGCTACTGCCTCTATGGCTGACACCACAAAATGGTACAGGAGAGATGGTCATTTCTGACCAGCAACAGGCAAGCTGCCCCTCCCAGCCTCAAGGAATGGGAACCTGCCCATGTCTGGCACCAGGGTCAGAGGGCTGAGAGAGATGGGATCCATCAAGGAGCCCATTTAAGAAGCTGCATCTCTAAGGACTGGGAAATTAATCCATCATTTACCAAGGTCTCTCACAGACACAGGCTAGCTGGCTTGCCTTTAATGCTAAAACAGCAATCTGCCAAAACTGACAATGACAGTGACCCTAGGCTCAGAGGAGAGGGTGCTGACCTTGGCAATGGCTGAGTTCAGTGTTGCGCCCTGGCCACCTGTTAGAAGCAGCAGGTTTCTGTGCCACTGAGGGCTGGCAGCAAAAATGACTAAAACCATGGGAATGAAAGGGTCACCCCTTGAGCTTTAACTGCCCCACTTGTCAGTATTGAGGGCCATATTAGAGGCCCACAGAAAGGGCGCTGGGCCAGCAGGGAAACATCACCTACAATTCATTCTGCTACCAAGTCTTTGTAAAAAGGCAGCACCTGCAGAGGAAGGGCATAGGGGCAAAAGCTCATCTCAAAAAATGGAAAAGAGGGTAATAGAAAGAGCATGAAGCAAATCAATATGTACTAATGAGCAAGGCTACAACCTAGTGGAAGGGTCCCAAAAGACGGGGGATGGCAGGCGGACACATGGACAAACTGACAGACCCCAGGATTGATCAGACAAAGCTCTCATTAGAGGAATCTGGGCACCTGCACTCAGGGCT